ATCCAAAGCTCAGTTTTGCTTCATAGATTTCTGTTTTAAAGTATGAGCAAATATAGTGTAACATTGTACACAGGTAATTTACTGACTTTCTGAAGTTACAGCAGCATTGAAAAAAGTGACTTATCACTGTTTTTCATACTTACAGCCAGTGCAGCATCCCCCATGGTCACATGATCAAAATTCAGCTGCTTGGCAATTGTTTTTATTTATAAGGGTTGCAGTGTCCTGGAATCGTGTGGTCCTCTTTTGTGACTTTCTAACAAGCAAAGGCAATGTGGAAGCCAGATTCACTTTACAACCATGTTACTAACTTAGTAATTGCAATGATTCACTTAACAACCATGATAGAAGTTGTAAAATGGGGCAAAATTTAGTTAACAACTGTTTCACTTAGCAAAAGAAATTTTGGGCTCAATTGTGGTTGTAAATCAAAGACTACCTATACATTATTAATGTTCCAGGTGCAAGCTAGGTGGTTACTTACCAGCAAGAACTCTCATCTCTTTAATTGGTAGTTTCCTCTTTTTGCTATAGTCAGGATGCTATTGGTATCCCACCATGCTCTTTAAATCAAGCAGAGGATCCAGCTCCCCCTCCCCCCCGCATGTCTGTAAAACAGGACTGGAGAAGCAGCAATGATTGGCTGCCAATGTTTATGCGCCATTGGCTGTCTCGGGAGGAGGGTGGACAAAAGGACACTTGGTCCACATTAGGGAATGGCAATCTTTTGGAAACCAAGCTGGCAGTTGATATGTCTTGAGAGCCAGTTTGCTACAAGAGGCAGAGCAGATGCAGAGAAGGGGGCCTCTGGTTTTCATTTCTCTCTCCACCCCTCAATTTTATTTTATAATAAAAGGCATATATTGCTTCAACATAAAAAAAAGAACACAGCAGTTTTAGGTAGAAGTTTTTGTAAGCTAAGAGAATTAGAGCATATAATAATCTATGCACTGTTTAATTATATTAACTATATAATCCCAGTTTGAGAGTCAGTTTGATGTAGTAGTTGAGGTGCTAGCCTAGAAACCAGGCGTTATAGTCCTGCCTTAAATATAAAATCCACCCTGGGTGATCTTGGGACAGTTTCTCTCAACCCAACATACCTCACAGGATTATTGTGTAGAAAAAAGGATGAGAAAAGAGAAATTATGTATATTCAACACCCTGAGTTATTTTTTAAAAAAAACAATAAAGGCAGGATCAAAATCTGATAAATCAATAAAATGAATCCCAGAGCAGTGAGATTGCAGATTGTTTACCTCTCAAGTGGAAAAGTATCCTTAGAGAATGGATAAGCAATCTATCTTTCCTCAGCATCTCAGATTTTCTTTGCACAACTATAAGTGGTAGAAGCACAATAATAACGTGGTTTGTACTAGCTTTCCCCAAACTGATACTTCCCTAATGGATTGTTTTGGTCTCTGTGTTGCCGTTTTAGAGACTCTCAAGGTTTTCACTACATAGGTATGATAGTTAACTGCATTGGACTCTATTCAACTGAGTGGAAAGGGCAGCCTGATACGTATTTTTGGTCTCAGGTAAGCTAAGGGTAATTTCCAGAGAACTCTATGTCTGGAGGCCCTTCAGTGGCTATTTTATGCTATTGCTGGCATGACCAGGTGGTAATAGCATTTTTCCCCAAAACTGCCCAAGCCCCAGGCCTCCTTCTGAGCAGTATATGATAAGGGTCCTTTCTGACATCCTGCAGAAATTTGCTACCAAGATTCCCTCTTACAGGACCTACTGTAGTAATGAGAGTAGGCTTTGTGAAGGGGTCTTTTATTATTGTTATTTTGTGGTTGAGAGGTTGCCTATACTTTTTTTCCCCCTCATGCAAAAACTTAGAAAGGGTGGAAAGCAAAATATTTGGATAATTATTCAGGCCATCAGGTTACATAAAAGGTTCCATAGCCCTTTGCATCAAGTCTTAACAGTTAAAACCGCAATTTCTGTTTTTGCAGTCATAAAACATCCAGAGCAAAGTATATGTGTGTGTGTTTGTGTGTGTCATAAAATAATAAAAAGCCATTTTTCCATTTGCTAGAAACTTGAAAAAGTTAATGTGATTTTTTAAAAAATAAAATAAAATGTCAATTTACTCCCCAAAGGGAACTCCTTAGAAAACTTTTTTCGGCTACACAGTGGTCTGAAAAAAATGATATGTATTTAGTTCTAAAGTTTTATTTTTAAAAAATAGCAATTAATTCCTAAAAAAAGAATGTACTGACATCAAGTGCAAACAGCTAATTTTATATTTTAAGGAAACTCTTTTTATATGACTCTTCAGACAGGAGCACATGATGTCTGCAGTTTATAGCTGTGTGGCGTGTATATGTTCTAGCACTGAGGGATCATCAGTAGAATCCACTCAGGGGCAATGATCAATAGCAATAGCACTTAGCTTTAGATACAGCTTCACAGTGCTTTACAGCCTTCTCTAAGCGGTTTACAGAGTCAGCATATTGCCCCCAACAATCTGGGTCGTCATTTTACCGATCTCGGAAGGATGGAAAATTGAATCAACCTTGAACCAATGGGAATCGAACTGCCAGCAGCTGGCAGTCAGCAAATGTAGCCTGCAGTACAGCATTCTAACCATTGTGCCACCATGGCTCAATGGAACGCTATTGCTGTTTTCCCCATCAGCTTCCTGTCTCTGAGCAGAATATATGGGCAGGGAAGGGTAATAAATAGTATGGCACCCAGGTGTCACTCTGAACTAGAATATCATACAGATAGTCCTCGACTTAAGACCACAATTTGGCCCAGAATTTCCATTGCTAAGCAAGTTAGGTGAGTTTTATATGATTTTACCACCTTTTTTTGCCATGGTTATTAAGTGAACCATTGCTGTTGTTAAGCAAATCATGTGATCATTAAGTGAATTCAGCTCTCCCATTGACTGTGCTTATCAGAAGCTAGCTGGGAAGGTTACAAATGATGATCACATCACCCCAGGATGCTGCAACCATCCTAAATTCATGTTGTTTGTCAAGCATCCAAATTTTGAACATGTGACCTTGCTACAACAGTCATAAGTGTGAGGAGGAGTCATAAGTCACTTTTATTTTTCAGTGCCATTGTAACTTTGAATTGCTGAATGAATGATTGTATGTCAACGGCTTCCTGTATCTGAGCTGGATAGTTTGTGGTACCAAGGTAGTGAATTGCCCATTCTTCATTCAAGACAAATGCTGTCTTAATTCTAGCATCCAGGAGGAGGAGAATATTTATCTAGGTAATAAGACTGTTAAGTCTTTGGTAAAACCCTGAGAAAGTTATCTTCCATTGGTTCTGACCCCAATGCTGCACTCTGACCTCAACCCTACAATCTGGCCTCACCTCTAAATGATAATTAACACTATCTCATTGAGGGCTGAACAAATAACATATTACCCAGAACACCTTGGGAACAGAAATGAATTTGGGAATAAAGGTTTATTCAGGAAACGCTTGCCACTTCCAGTGGTGGGATTCAGCCAATTTGCACCACTTCAAGAGAACTAGTTGTTAACTTTCTGAGCAGTTTAGTGAACTGGTTCTTGGAAGAAATCATTAGGGCAGAGAACCAGTTGTTCAGTTATTTGAATCCCACCACTGGTCACTTCCAATTATGCCATAAAAGTGAACATGACCCTGGTTATCCCATCATTTTCGTCTGTCACCAGTGATAATTCTTTAGATATATTCCAATGATTTCCATAATCCAATCACCTACCTTAATCATTTTCTTCTACTTTTCTTAACTTTGCCAAGTATAATAACTTACTCCAATCTGTCACCCACTCATATCACATTCCCCAAATATGTAAAATACTACTTGACTGGTTCTTCTTGTAGCCTGTGGCACTCTGTCACTGCCTTCCTCCTATCACCTCTGAATTTCTCTAACACACTTTCCTCTATCTGTCCAAGAAAAGAATATGAAAAGCTCCAATTATATTTGAATGGAGACTAGATGCATCCTGTACTTAAGTCTTTGAAAACCATCAATGAACAACTTCAGTGAAAATCCAAATGTAGCATCCAAATGTTAGATGACATTTGAGACCCCTAAGCTTTGATGGGGTTTGATATACTCTAATAATGGACCTTACTATCATGAATATTGGATTAGATTCTCTCTACATTTAGATGTAACTACTAAGCGTAGAGGAGGAAACATCTTCCTTTTCCTCCAGGGATCCATATTTATTATTTAATCCTCTAAGACAGGGGTCCCCAACCACCGGTCCCCGGACCGGTACCGGTCCATGGATCATTTTTTACCAGGCCGCAAAGCTTGGGTGCCGCCATCTTGTTTCAACGGCGCTTCCAGGTTTTCGGTTGCTTCAAGGTTTTCGGTTGGAAAGTGCTTCCAGGTTTTCAGTTTGAAAGCGGCATTTGGGTGCTTGCGCCTTAGTTTCTTTGAAGAGAGGGGGGGCGGCTTCGAACAAAGAGCCGTCCCGATGGCGGTGGAGTCTCGCGTTACTCAGGTACCAGTCCATGGAAGAATAAATAATCATGAAACCGGTCCCTGGTTCAAAAAAGGTTGGGGGCCACTGCTCTAAGAGTAGAATATTGGTAATGAACAAAATTTCCAGCCGCAATTTCTGTTTCAAGTACATGGAGATCTGCATTTGGAACTTCTAATGTAATCGTCTTTTTCCTTCAGGAAGCTTTCAAAGGAAGTCTTCACCCTTCTCCCCAGGCATTCCTGAGAAGAGGAGAAACATCTTCACCCTAACCAGTTCTTCCCCAAGATTTCTCCCGGGCCATTTAAATAAGATCTAGTGCATAAAATAGAAAAATTGGACCTTTAGTTATGTGCACTGCAGTTCTAGTTAAAAGACACATTCGGCCGTTCAATATTTTTAATGTATTTGATGGATGGCTATCACTACAAAACGAAGTTCGTTTTTTTTTTCTTTTAAAGAACTTAAAGGGGTATTAGGCCCTTTATTCCATCTCAATGATTATCCAAACTGAATTTAATGTAACTTACGGGGAAGTCACCATTATACAAAACTGCATTCAGAAATCTTCTGTGCAATAAAAACCTCCTCCATTTTTCAAGCTAATATCAACCTCTCCTTGCAGATGTCCACCCTTTCACAATGAGGGATTGCTCAACACTGCACATATAATTTATTTCACATTTCTTTGGGTCACCTAAATGAGGTTAATGAGATACAAGAGCCAATTTTCAGATGCTCACAAGCAAACAACCTGATATCAGTACTATTTGTTACCAAAACAAGAGACTGGTAGAAACCATTGTTCTACCTAAAAACAGATTGGCTTCTAGCCCATAAGATTGTGTAAGACTTTCAATTGGTATGGGTCTTTGATTTTTACCCTCCACTCCTTTAAAACTAGATCTTGCATCTGATTAACAGCAATCATGGGAATTCTTTCATAATGGCCACTTTCGTTGTTTTTTTTTTACAATAAAGCAATTTATCTAAGTTTATGTGTCCTCTGAAATCTGGGGTTGCACTTTCTTACATGGGGTACCAGGAGAAGTCTGACATTGGAAGATGGGTGAAGTAATTTTGCTGGAGTTCCTTTAAGATAAAATTGATTTAACTTCTCTTGAGTAGAGGGATTGTAGTTCATTTTCATTTCCATGTTAATTATCAGTACAATATTCTGCCAAATCTTCCTCTCTGAATTCCATCCAATCTGGGATGGGATTTTTCTGGGTTTTCTGTTTCATTTCCCTGCCACCATCTGCATTTTATACCCAGCATTTCACAGGTTGTGACATTTGAAAGATTGGTATAGTCAATCTTCAACTAGCAAAGATTTCACTGAAATTAATAGTCTACACAGTAATGAAGCTAGGTGGAATGCTTCGGCTCTGAAGAAAGATAAGACTTTTTCTGTATTTTTGCTTCATTTAAGCAATTCACACAATCTGCCTCAAATAATAGGAGGATGGTATACAGTATGCTAAAATTTTCCAGTAGCCACAAAAATTCAAATGTTGCCAGCTAAGACCTAATATTCCCTTGCAAGTCAGAATTTGACATTCTCCCCTCTTGTGTTTAACATCTATGTGAAGCTGCTGGGTCATCTGGTGTGATGGGGTAAGGTATCATAAATATAGGAAAAATATTTCCATCTTGTTTCATCCAAGAATTTCTGTGGAGCTTCAAAACAACTAAAGCCTCTTAGCTTCTTCTAAATCATCTTAGCTTGAATTTATAACTACAATGGATGGAGACTAGGATACACCAACCCATGCACACACACACATACAAAACACCTACGATGAGACAGTCTTATATCTGTGTGATTCCTACCATCCTTTTGTAGAAAGGAGGGGGAACTTAGTTAAAACAGTGATCAAACAGGGCATTTCAAACAGTGATCAAACAGGGCAACAGTGATCAAACAACCCTATTTTAGGGTTAAAATAGTGTGTCAGATCATTCTTTCAACCATAAGTGTCCTCCCAAAAAGGATGGTGGGAATCACACTGTATCATGATAGTCATGTATGTCCATATATGTGTGTCTGTCTGTCTATTTTTCCTACTTTTCAGCCTTGTTAAAAACCCATACTCAGATGATTTAGAACCTCCCCTGTTAATTCAATGCTATATTTCCAAATACTTCAGTCTAACCACAGCCTTTCAAAATATGTGTTCCTTTATTACATTCAACCATCATTTTCATCTTATATGATCTTACTACAGTTCTCATTCAGTCCCATCCAAATGCTTGGGGCATTTGGGGCATTTATCTTCAGAAAAAAACAATAGTATGAGGGAATGTGCTGGATGGGTGGCTTGGTGTGAGAGTTTGATATTTCCCTTTACTTATATTGGTCTAAAGCTTAGAGAACACCTATAATTCTACCTCTCCAGATGATTTCCAGTTCCTCCTGAAGATAAGAGCACCTGCTGATCCATTTCTCTAAGAAAGGAGCTACAACAGCAGTTCCTTCCTTGTCTGCAGATAAAATCAGTGTGTGACCATCCATTACAGTGAAAAAAAACATGGATTAGATTGCAAGACACAGTTTTAGAGATGTTAATGATTGTGCTGTAAAAGCACAAACAACCCCCCTCCTCCCCTTGCTCTCCTAGCATTCTTTTCTCTTATTCAGTTCTACATAGCAGACATTTGATCTGTAAGGCCAATGAATTCGCAGGCCTCCTGAGAACCCCAAAGGCTGACTGATACGTGTGGGAAAGTGGTGGCCATTTTGGATAAATCCGTTGTGCTGCTAAACACCTTCCCTTTTCTTTTTTATTTTTCCCATTTACCGCATCTTCTTTTATTCTCTATTTTATTTTGTTTCAGCAACAGAAATCTTGCTACTTGAGCAGATAGGACAGCTTTGCCTTTAAACTGACCTATGAGGGTTTTTTTTGGTTTTTTTTTAAATCTTCTGATAATAGTGTAGGAAAAACATTTGCGCTCAATAGAGAATGGGTTTAGAAACAATATCATTTTTCAGAGTTGTATTCTGAAAAGGTCAGTGAAAAGCCTCTCTCCCAGCACTTTCTGAATGACTTAGCATTTGAATGTCCCTAAGAACAATACCAGTAGAAAAGTGACTTTTAGATAAAAGAGAAAGCGAAAGGACAAAAGCCAAATCATCATGTATCTCTCCAACATCATATTCATTACTCTGAGGCTGGGGATCAAAGTCATCTAGGATTTCTAACTTTCAACCAAATTTTGAACTATGCAGATGGTAACCTTATTACAACAGTGTACCTTGCTTCTGACAACAAAGAGAATTATCCCAAATGTACTTCCAAGCAATAACAACAATATGCTTTTGGAGACAAGAATACTTGCAGAATCAAACAACACTTTCACCATTGCAGACATATCTTATTACCCTTTTTTGTTTACTGATGGATGACAGTTCCCAGTAACAAGTCCTATATGAAGGTTGGACATTGGAGCCACACCACTGTATATGAACACTAGGTTTTGACCAACAAGCATGATATCATCCATGAAAACATCAAATAGTTTCCAATTTTGATCCATTTTATCTAGGAGCCCAGAACATGCAGAGAAATTGGTGCACTGATAGCTGATAAATTCTATGGAAAAGTAATTGTAGGACTGAGCTGTGCTTCACATTTTTTTCCTCCCCAAAGTTCTTCAGAGCAGGCAGGAATGCAAACTGTCTCTGTGATTGTTACACAGAGGATTACACAGCTGCTTTTTACAGCTACCCTACAATCCTGGGAAAAAATTTTTTTAAGGTGTTGCAGACAGGTGTGATGTTTGGACTCTCGTTTGCATTTAAGCACATTTTGCAGATCAGATCTTCCCAGCACTAATATAATTCCATCAGAACATTGTACAGAGGAACTTTTCATAGAAGGTAAGTTGAAACTAGATATTAAAAAATAAGTGCACATTTGGGCCTACTCTCATATTCTTTATTTAACTAGACAGTCTGTTCCATTTCTCTGCTACATAGCAATACAAACGCTTCACATCAGGTCTAGCTATATTTTCTTGGGAAGGTATGTTATTAATGCTCCAGCAAAACTAGAAAGCATTTGAAAATCTGAATTTAAAAAATGTACTGAAAATTGATACTTCCTCTCTGTACTTATCTGAGGCCTCCTCACATTCCTAATACTGAAACCAATCCCAAAATCTAATGTCAGTAGGGTAACAGCACCCTGGTTTTGTATCTTGTTGAGAGTTGTCAGCTGGGTGCTGATCTCAACATTTCACTCCCTTACTCTAGTTTATTATACCCAAGTGTCCTATCTTGATAAACCTCATTGACTCATCTGGCATCTGACTCATACCAGATGGTTGGATATCATAGTTTAAAACATAATTTCCTGTACTATCAATTGCAAGCACATTAATTATTCCGTATCTCTATTCCTGCTGATGAAAAATCTGTGTATGCTAGTGGGCCACACAAGCTGCCTAATCTTTTCCCCTCCCCAAGTCTTCAGTGGCTGTGAAAGTTCAGGGGTATCTTCAGAACTTAAGCTTTAAACTATCAATCAGGTGACACTTGTATCTAATTTCTAAGAGCCATGGTAGTGCAGTGGTTAGAGTGTAGTAATGTAGGCTACTTCTGCTGACTGCCATCTGTCTGCAATTTGGCAGTTTGAATCTCACCAGGCTTAAGATTGACTCAGTCTTCCATCTTTCGAAGGTGGGTAAAATAAGGACTCAGACTTATTTGAGTCCTTATTTTGGGGGCAACATGCTGACTCTGTAAACCACTTAGAGAGGGCTGTAAAGCACTATGAAGCTGTATATAAGTCTATTGCTATGGCTATTTTTCAGTTCAGAACCTGTCATGCAGTTTTCACAGCCAGTTTATACCACAACCCTTAAACACTACAGTATTTCAAAGGAGTTTCCCTTTTTTTAAAAAAATGATGTATTTATTGATTGTTAGAACAGGCAATCCTTGACTTATAATCATTCATTTATTGACCATTCATAGTTCAAATTTGAGCACTTAGCAAACAACATGTGTCAGGCTTCAAAAAGCCTACGAGTTTATCTCCCGGAGTAAAGCCCGACACATTATCTTGGTTGGGGAATAAACGTCCAATCCTGCCATTTCCAACATGTTGACTTATTGGTAAACGTTTCCTACTTTTGAATATCCCATCCTGGTTCGATCCATCTATCCTGTATCGGCACAAACATGTGACAAGGATGGGGGTGGGAGGAGGTTTATTGCTCCAACCCCTCTCATTTCCCGAAACAAAACACAAAGACTCATTGGGGAAGATAAGGCACAGCTCGAGAATTTAAACCACATTCTGTTTGGTAATTAGTTGCATTTAGAATTGCGGGGTGGAGGTGTGTAGGACTAATGGGGAGGGTGGATGTTAGTTAGCTGCATGGGGTGGGGCTGCATGATAAATTGTGCTGAGAAGCGAATGATCTCAGTGCTGACTTTATCCAGTATATCCGTTGTTGCCACGTTTGAAGGAAAATGAGCGGAAATAAATGTACCTATTCACAACAAATCCTGTGAGCAATATAGTTTATTGCTAGAATTCCTGTTGTGTAGTCGTTGGGATGACACACGAGGCAGACACGGAGCTGAAGGCTAACACAATTTATTTAAACATAGCAGGTTGACGCGGCTGCCCAGACTGGACAGGCAGTCCGGGAGGCGTTAGCTGCCTCGGCGGGGCAGGCAGTCCGGGAGGCGATGGCTGCCTCGGCTGGGCAGGCAGTCTGGGAGGCGATGGCTGCCTCGGCTGGGCAGGCAGTCCGGGAGGCGTTAGCCGCCTCGGCTCGGCAGGCAGTCCGGGAGGTCTGTAGCCGCCCCGGCTGGGCGGGCGGTCCAGAGGGCGATAGCTGCCTCGGCTGGGCGGGCAGCCCAGATGGTGAGAACTGCCCCGGCCGGGCGGGCAGCCCGGGGGCGAGAGCTCTTGCGAGCGCTGCCCCGTTGGTCCGCGCTCCGCTCGCTTCGCTTGGCTGGCTCTGCCCGACAGCCGGCTTTTATAGCCGACTGTCAAACGGAGCCAGCCAATGGGAACGGCTGGTGTTCCCGCTCAAACAGCGGACCTGGTTGGGAAACCCCAACCAGTTCAAAAGACATAACGGAAACTGTCAGGGACACAACACCCCTTCCCCCTTAGCTAAGAACATGGTAGACTAGACTGGGAACTGTAGTTGTCAGGGACACAACACCCCTTCCCCCTTAGCTAGGGACATGGCAGCCCAGACTGGGGACTGTGGTTAGGCGGGAGTTCCAAAGACATAACGGAAACTGTCAGGGACACAACAATTCCCATGAGTTCAAACAGAGGCTTACAACATGTATTTGTACTGGCAGTTGTACTGTCCCAGGTTCATATGATCACCACCTGTAACCTTCCCAGCCAGCTTCCAATAAGCAAAGTCAATGGGGGAAGCTAGATTTGTTTAATAACTATATGATTCACTTAGCAATTGCAGGGATCCACTTAACAATTGTGGCAAAAAGTCATAAATTGCAGCAAAACTCACTAAACAACTGCCTTGCTTAGCAATGGAAATTTGGGCTCAATTGTTGTCATAAGTTGAGGTCTACCTGTATTGACTCTTAATGACCTCATGGATATATTCTCTCTAGAATTGTCTTTCTTTCACTTGGCCTTTAGGTCCCTCAGTGGAGCATTTATTACTGTTATTTAAAAAAATCCATCCGTTTGGCTGATGTCTATTCTCTTTCTCCTTGAACTTTTCCAAGATTATAATCTTCTTAAGGGAACTGTCTCTGCATGCATCCATAATATGATACTTAGAGACATATTTTTAAAAGAACAAAAGGCTTTGTAGAGTTAATTCACATGTTCTGTCATGCCTTCCTGTGGTTTTACTGCACTTTGTAAAGTATTTTATACAAGCTGCCTAACTATGGTTTATGAACGAAGGTTAAAGAAAACATGGTTTAGTGTGATTTGTAAAATTACTGTTCAGTTTTTCTAGTAAAACTCTTCTCCTGGCTTAGACCTTTACAGTACAGCAACATTTCATTCTGCTTATAAATAAAAAGTTTGCAGTTGTAAAAAAAGTGTTAACATTTTTAAGAAAATAGTTGAAATGTATTTCAGAATACATAAAATGCAGAATACAACTGTAGCTCCTGTCAATATAAGTCATTGCCAAAGAATAAAATTTTGCTTTATGTTCTCTGATCATGATATCCCTGTTTTTCAATTAAGTCAAAGTATTGTTAATAGTCATCAGTTTGAGAACTATTTCTCCATTAAATAAAACAGTGAAGATCTTTGGCAATATCAGGATAATAGGCTGGAAAAGAGTTAATTAACTGAAGCTGAATCCTAACCAGAGGGAGGCACTGTGAACTGGCTACCAAAATTGGGTAAGTCTCCAACTCTGGATGGGTTTACTCTCCATGAAGCCTTTATTCAAATCCCTCAAAGGCAGAATGCATTTGGTGGCACAGAATCCATTCTAATCACTACAACCTTTCCTGGACAGAAATAATTTGTCCACAGCAGTAGTCCATATTCCAGTAAATTCCTCTTTGCAATACCGTAATTCACTCTCTGTAGCTCTCCCCTAAATAAGTTAGATATTGCAGCTAGTTTTGAACCCAGCATTAAAAATATCATCTGAAAGTATTACACTTTTCATATATGTATTGGGATTTTTTTCTTTGCATTTATGAGCCACCCAATTCCATGGTCTCTGGGAAGGTCCACAAAACTGAAAAACCTATAAAAACTCGAAGCCTTCAAACCAAACAAGCAGCCAGACTAGAACAATCTTATAAACAACACAAATCAAAGAAAGACAGGGGTTCTAAACAAACAATAATACCAAACAATAATACATCAATCCCAGGGACTAAAGTCAGATTTTAGAGCTTTCCAGAACCCCCAGGAGAAGGCAAAATCCTTATCTCTAGGGTATGCTGCTTCAGGGGTGGCATGCTTTCTCAGTCTCACAAGATGACAATAGAATTTAGAATAAAATAACCTTTAATAGTAAAGACCTGGAATGCGCCCACTTTACCAACACATACCAGGGAGTAAGAAATGATTGAAGATAAACGGTCCCTCAGATATCCGGGATCTATGGGCTTTATAGGTAGGAACTAGCACCTTAATATTAATACTAGTCTTTTTTTAATATAAATTTTATTTGGGTTTTCCCAAAAACATAATACAAATAAAATATCTTTTTTTGAGAATAGCATGATCCCAGGTTATCACTTCTCCATACAGACACAAACTCAATTTCATATTCATCTTTGTGTTCTATTCCATATCTTATTACTATTTTAACAAAACCACTGCCTATCCAATACATACTTCACCTACAACAGACAAAAATACAAACAAATAGAAGGAGCACCCATGGGGTCACCCCTCTCACCTGTCATCACAAACCTCTACATGGAACACTTTGAAACACGAGCTCTAGAAAAATATGATCACAAACCCAAACTCTGGCTCAGATACGTAGATGACACCTTCATAATTTGGCCACATGGGAAAGAAAAACTGAACAACTTCCTCACACACCTCAACAGCCTACACCCCAAAATACAATTCACCATGGAAACAGAAGCTAACAATCAACTTCCCTTCCTAGATATCTTAGTATACAAAAAACCCAATGGCTCCCTAGGACACACCATCTACCAGAAGAAAACACATACAAATCGCTATCTACATGCACTCTCACACCACCACCCAGCACAGATCAATTCAAGACACTCATCTCCATAACAAAATGCTTAGCTGATGAACAACACCTAAAAACCGAACTACACAGTCTCACTAACGTACTAACAGCCAATGGATTCCAAAGAAAGAAGATTACCCACCTAATCCAAAAAGGAACCCCAACCAAAATCCAAGACAGAGAACAAGAGAATGGCAAAGCCCTTCTCCCATATATAAAAAGCACTACAGACAAAATCAGCAAGATCCTCCAAAAACACAACTTTAAAACAGCATTCTGCACAAACAGAAAAATATCCACCATCCTAAGAAACCCTAAAGACAAAATCGAATTAGAAAACCAAAGAGTATACGAAATCCCTTGCACCACCTGCCCCACCACATACATCTGACAAACTAACAGAAGATAAGTGCATGCATTGAAGAACACAAGAATTCAATCAAAAAAGAAGAACTGACCTCTTCCCTGGTCCAACACCTGAAAGCCACAGGACATGAGATTGACTTTAAAAATACCAGAACTATCGCCAAAACCGAACACTTCAACAACAGAATAATCAGAGAAGCCATAGAGATAGAAAAATGCCCACACAGCATGAATAAACGAGATGATACCTCCCACCTACCAGCCATATGGAAACCCGCCCTCACGAACAGATGAGTACCTAACATGAAGAATGACACCAGACCCACACCCACGAGGGCCACACAAGATGCTACTACCACACTTCCATGTAGAAAGCAGACTCACACCCATACAGGAGATGAGACATGGCCACGGACCAGAAGCCGCACTGCAGCTGCATCACTACCCGCTTCAAACCCCTCCGAGCCATACATGAAGCAAACTGACACCCACCATGAAGATACGGCACGACCACGAATGCGAAGCCAAACAGCAGGATCACAGCTCACCAGCTCAAATCCCCCAGCAACTAAGACTAACCTGAGCACAACCAAGCCCCCACTGAACAGAACACACCCCCAACCAATCAGAACACAGCCAAACCCCCAACCAATGAGAACACACCCCCACCCAATCAGAACACAGCCAAGCCCCCACCCAATCAAGTCACACCCCCACTAGCAGTTAAAAGGAAGAAGCAGCTGCAAGCTCACATTACTCTGCGAAGCACAGAGCCGAAGACACAAGCCTGAAGATGATGAATGAGACTTCATCGAAACGTTGCCTAGATACTTCCAATCTTACACGGGAGAAAACCTAAATAACCAAAGATCCACATACAAATACCCGCGAGAACCTCAGAGAACGTATACATACATACATACATACATACATACATACATACATACATACATATAAAAAAGACTCATTCCATTCCAATTCAATTCTACAATTAATATTAGTTACAATCTTAACATTTTTAACATTTCTTTTCAATTGAATATCAAATTCCTTGGGAACACTTATAAACTTTCCATAATTATTTCTTTTTTTCCATATTTCTCCACTTATATTTTTATAAATCATTAATAATAATTAAAATGTTCCCAATCTTTCCTAATTTCATTCTTTCATTCTCTTTGTTTCATTTATTTATTAACAAACATTCCATTGCATTACAATAAGTATTTTATCCATCATTTTAATCATACATTGTTTCATATTTTCTAAAATTATTTCTATTTCTAATATAACAATACTATCTTATGTACCTTTGCAGAGTCCCTTTTTCAATTAAATTTTCACCCATTATCTCTAAATAGCCTTATACTTTCAATCCTTATACATTTTCCCTGTTTCTCTATACCTTGTTTCTGTCTTTTATAACTTCTTTTCCTTTCCTTCTTCCCCCTCTTCTTCTCCCCCCACCTTTTGCCCCCTTGTCTCTCTACTTCTAATTCTCTCTTCTGTAATCCTTTCTTCTGTTGCTTCCTAATATTGTAATTATTTTCAAACTATTCTTTTTTGCGGGGGGGGGGGTCAAATCTTAAACTTTTCACTCTTTCCCACCTTTCCTTTTTTTCCCCATATAAAATTGCTTGATCATTAAAGATGGCTTCTTCTTTGTCCTGACCTTCTTGTTCTACAAGCGTTTCTTGTTGTTTCTCATAGTTCCAGATCTCCATTTCTAAAACGAACCTCTTCCTTCTTGTGCATCTTCTTTCTGTTTTTTAAGTTCCATTTTCTGTTCTTCCAAAAGTGATGCCATTTTAAACACTTTTATACAACCACCTGATTGATTTTAGTCATTTAAGTCCAATAGCCAAAAATCCAAAAATCACCAAATAATCCAAAGCTGTTTCTTCTTGCTTCTTTTTAACACTTTCTCTTCCTGGGGTTCTATTATTTCATTACAAAGTTTCAGTTAGAATGTATCTTTTAGGCATCTTGTTAAAGTTTCACTGTAAGTTCCTTTTAGTTCCAGGCAGTCTCCTCCATTTTTCCAGATCCTGCCCTTTTATTCTTTCTTTTTCTCTCCTTTCCTTCTTTTAAAGGTTTTTGAGTATCCAAAAGTCTTTATTACCCCTTTGACATTTTATTTTCAGCTTAAATGCCTATTGATGTCAAAGTAGATTTTTTCAATTTCTTATTTAAATCACTTAGCTGTCAGTATAAGGAAGGGAAGAAAAAAAAAAGCCAAATCCTTTCCCTTCCCTCTCTCCTTCGCTGCTTCAAAATCTTCTTTGGGAGCAATGTTATTTTTTATAGTTCCAATTCCAGGATACCTTACATTGCTGCTTTTTCAGTTCAACCCAGTCAACCAAAACTTTCTCTTCTTATCTTCCTTCTGCACATTCTTTTCCAGTCGAGTTCTTCTTTGAGGTGGCCATTTCTGACCACCGCTGCAACCGCCTTCAGGAAAGGGAGTAATGGCCAGCTGAGGAGAAGAGATGCAGCTCTCCTCGACCCTGCTGGTGGTCTCCCCCCTCTTCACCACCTCTACAGGATGGCTTAGCCCCGAATCCGGCTGGCTCGGGGCGCTCCAGTGGCAAGCACGGATTGAAACTGTGCACGATTGTGGATTTTGGTCCGTCACCGAAGAAGCTCAAAACCGGAAGTCCAATATTAAAACTAGTCTTAAAGGATTACACTGCTAGTCACATATTACTACTTGGACTTCATCTTTTTAGTAAGGATGTTAAGGCCGTTAAGTACTTAGGATATTATTTGAAAGAGCATCTCTCTCAAGATTTACCTGTCTGAAACTTAGGATCTGCACAGATGTCTCTCTACAGAGCCCCAGATCTAGAAGACCCTCATTATGTGCAGATGCCTTTGTTGTAGTACCAAGGCTTTCACATGTCCTGCTTGGAAAGTCAATCAGACCCAGATATTATCTGGTGAACACTTCAGTTTTAGGGAGGGAGGGAGAGAGGAAGGGCGGGTGGAAGGAAGGAAGGAAGGAATAAAGGAAGGAAGGAAGGAAGGAAGGAAGGAAGGAAGGAAGGAAGGAAG